CTCGCAGCATATTTGCCCGGTTGAACGATGGAAATGCTGAGAACTCGTTGAAGAAGGAAAGTTGGTACAATACACACACACACACACACACACACACACACACACACACACACACACACACACACACACACACACACACACATGCTAAACGCAGACTAATACCGGAAGTGGCAGCCACATTTTAGATGAAGGCGAAAATTCGTGAGGCCCGGGTGCTTAGATTTAGGTGCATGTTAAAGAACCCCAGGCGGTCGGAATTTCCAGAGCTCTCCACTTCGGCGTATCTCATATTCATATGGTGGTTTTGGGACGTTAAATTCCAACAACTATTATATTATGCTACACAGAATACTCAACACTACAGTGAAGTAAGGCGCGTCTTCCCCGCACTTCACCCGAGTCTATAGACAGGCAAGCAACTGAATACCAACAGCTATAAACAGACTCCTGCCCAAACCCCATGCACCTCCACAGGGGTTGCCCGTACCTATGCCCAGGCAATAAATGAAAACTATGTGCTATAGAAAGAGCTCCTTATATATATATGCCTTGGTAATGTCCCAACTTATGTTCTCCTGGGGCCCTCCGGGAGCGGTGGCGGCTAGTGCTGCAAAGCTCGGAGGTTCAACACCGAAAATGGGCCATCCAGCAGCCCAGGGAGGCTGTACGGAGACAAGGTCTCCTGGTACCTCCCTGTGCGCTCTAGCCCGGACCACGAACATGCAGTATCATGAAATGAAGTTTATTCACTCACACCGAGGCTTAAACCTATAAGCGTTGCATTTCGAGGTAGACGCCACTCATCGTTTGAGGTACGAGTTAAAGGCACCACTTTCTCACGCGTGTGAATACGCAAACTAACAACGAGAAAACTAGAAGAAATAAAATTATCTCGTTGCTTAGCGTGCGCTGCGTGGAGTTTCAAATAGCTAGATGTATAGGGAACGAAGGCATTTTTCTGATGTAACACACAGAAGAAAAAACGGACAAAGTTGTGGAACTATATTTATTAGCGTGTATACACGTGAGCTGGCTGCGTAACCAAGAAAGCATTCGGGCCTGCGAAAGTGGGTATGTAAGAGGCTGTGGCCGAGCTCTACCCCTAAGACTCTCTCGGTAATCACGTGATGGCGTCGGGGAAGGACAGTCTGCAGACACGCCATAAACCCACGTGCTCCCGCGTGGCGATGGACCCACGTGGTGCGCCACAACAAGAGTTCGGGACGACTGACAGCAACTGAAACTATATGTATACAGTGAATTCATGGTGTGCCGCACTTGCAAGGACGCTTTAACATCGGGCAAGGTGCCCGTCATGAACGGAACTTCAAAAAGTCGACGCATGCGTTGTTTTGCATGCTACTCACGGTTCCCTTTAGTGGGAGATGGAATAATTTTAGTTGCACAGCAGCTCTTTGACCAGCCTGTGTAACGCTGTCCCTCCGTCCGTCCGTGCAAACGCACCGCAACGCGCGGCGCCGTAGCTGCTGGAGCGGTGCCAACTATGTCACGCCGCAGATGCGCGTTGACGTCATGCTCCCTTTGCAGTGCGCGTTGATGTTACTCTCTCCCTCGCCTGCCAAGCGCTCGCCGCAGCTGCCGCCTCGTCCGTTCGCCGCAACACCTCGCTCCGCTACCGCGACCGCCACTCGCTACAGCGCCGACTCGTCGGTTCACGCGCGATAAAGCCGACGCGCGCCTGACGTATACGTTGAAACCCGATGAGGGGAACGGGCATCGATGTGGTCTTTGCCAAATTCGACGTCGAATGTCTGCAGGAAGCTCTCAGCGTGCACTTCACCGACCACAAGGCCGTGGTAGTGAAGGCGGAACGCACCAGCTCCGGTCCAGCGCTCGTGTCCACTTCGAAAAAAAAAACAGGGCAAAACCTACGCCAGCCACCGCTTCAAACGAATATTCCAGCACTCGCCGCAGCACAATCCATGACGCCACCCATGCGCAAGGCTGCTGCTTCGCATTCCATCAGGGTTCCCTTTGGGCTTCCTTTATCAGGGTTCCCTTTAGTTTCGTATTGTACAGGTGGTATAAATTTTTTTCTCTGACCCTTAAGTGCTTGCGCTGTTAATTCCTACTAGCCGATAGGGACGGCTATTCAATTAGTATAGATGCATTATCAGTTTAAGGAAGCTTTTAAGCATTTTGACAGAAATATGGGAACTTTCGTTTGTTGCTTCTAAAAAGTGAGTATAAAAGGATTAACGCAGCTCTCGTGAGGCCAGATCGCAATAATTATCAAGGGGCTTTTGGCCATAGCGGAGCTGGTGGGCACCTAGGTGGTCTTAACCGAAGGCTTTTGCCCTTTCACCTCACTTCCCATGTTTTGCTATATGCTTGCTCTCTTTTTCTTCTATCTTTTATATTTTGTGTGCGATGTCTTTCTATTTATGTCTATTTTTATCTCTTTTTCCTCCTCTTTCTCTTTCATTCCGGGTCTTCATTTCTATGTCACTCGAAAAAAGTTTGTGACACGAAAAAGTTTTCACATTAAACTTGTTGGCCATGCGAGGGCCCCTAGTAAGATGGCCGCCGCAGCCGCCATTTTGCTATAGGCACGGTTTCACTCCTGGACAATCATTTCCACTCCAGTATTTTTTAAAGACGATAGTCTTTCTTGGGGACCTTCGACGCAAAACTTTTTGTCTGTCTGCACATTTGTCTGTTTGTCCACTTAACGGCACCGGGTACTTGAAACGACCGACCCCATCCGAAGAGCTCACCAATTTTGTTCAAGCTTCAGCGTTTATACCAGTGCAATTGTCAATTAAAATGCAATTGTTGCGCAAGTCTGGGGCACCATATCAACACGTATATATTCTGCATGTGCGTCATTTACTGGAAAAAGCATAAGTTATTCTAAGGACCATAGCGTTTATCACGTGGCGCTGACCATGCAACGCTTGCATGAAAAGGGCAGTGTTTCCAACGCTTTGCTAAGACGACACGGTGATGGCACTTACCCGTCGCCTTGCGTTCCACACCTTATCACTCCTGAGACGGGCGCATACGCCCGTCTCAGAGCCGAGCGTTTTGTTTTTTCAAGATAACTGCCAAATAGCGCTCATGTCTCACGTGTAACGTGACTTGGCGTGCTTGTTCGCCTCCGCTACACGCTCGAGGCACTCTAACGCAGCGCCTCTAGAATACCATTCACCGATTTTCTTGCGCAGAACATCGAATAAACGTTTTGTTAAATCTCTCCAGACGCAAGAATATCGTCTTTCGACGACATTTGCAGATTAACATGCAGATACGGGGCCAATTTTTTACATCTATATTTGATATGATAGCAACACAATTAAGGACGACAAGTACCAAGTCGCCAACTCAGGAGGTTTTTTTACTACGTGAAGATTTTACTGCACCATTCCTCCTGCGAACTTCCTGCCACGTGCCTGACAATAGAAACGCTCTGCAAATTCCAAGATTGCCTTGTATAAGCAGAAAGGCACGAAATTAGAACCCAATCAAGCAGGTGTGCCGGCCAGCTATAGGCCAACCTGGAGCACGAAAGCTGCGGAAGCCGTACGTGATGGTCGACACTCATTGTAAACGAGACCACGTGACAACATTCATACCATGTATGGTATTGTTTATCGTGGATGCGCGTACATCCGGTAATATACAGAAACCCTTCCAACAGATTTGGGTTCTATCGATCGGTAAAAAGTGGACCGCAAACTGCGAGATATTTCAGTTACCGTGAATGGCTTAGCCACCTTCTCGTATTGGTCGGCGTTTCTTATATTCTGTATTTTCTTTATCAGATTTACATCTTACTGCTGACACCAACTAGCAGAGCAATTACACATTAACAACAGTCGCAGTGCCACCGTCTTTCACAACGTATTGACTGTGTGTCGTCGCTCTTGCTTTTTGTGGCAGGGAAAAGAAATAGCTGTCGAGGTGCCTTTCGTCTACTTTAGGAATTCACAATTTGCACAGAGGGCAGCTGCCATGACAGTTAACTGAGTTGCGCGAATATTTGAAGTGCTACCTTTTGTACTTTGATTTTTCGTGCAACTCAGTTAACATGAATTACCAGCTCGCCCAGCAGTCTGTGCTTTTCATGCAATGACAGCTTGTGAAAACTCTTGGTACACCGTGAACACAACCAATGAAAGCTAGAAACAATTAGGCTTTCGTTACTTTCGCATAGTACAAAACGCGAGCCTCTCGGACAACTGTACTTATTCCGTAATTGCAATTTCGGCTGTTTTCACGTCAAAAGAAAATGTTATCGCAGCCACATAGAAATGTCATGTAGAAGTGTTGCAGCTCGGGCTAGTTCACTATTCATGAACTTAACTGGTATTAGCGTGGTATATATATCAAAAGAAACATGGTACAGGCCTAAAGAGAAGGTGAGGTGCTAAAATGCGATATAGCACCAGTTTCAGGGACAGAAAGAAAAGATGTGACCCAGCGCTGCATTCTCCAAAGTTCAAATAAAGCGGTTCTGAAACCGAAATTGCGTATGAAGAAATCATCCGTTCGTGGCGTTCAGTACTTTGTCTGCGCTACCGTATATTATCGTGTTACAAGTTACAACCAACGTTACTAAAATAAAATTTTAGTAACGTTGGGTTACAGCCATATCAATCCATTCATTCAAAATGAGTAACCTTTTTTTAATCTACTTTCGGTTTTGGTTTTTTGCGTATGTTTAGTGCTTGAGTTTATTTTGTCACTGCTCACTGACATTATTAACTATTATTGCATGCTTTATGAACATCTCACAACGAAGGTTACTTATGTTGTTTTGTGCCACACAAGTACAGCATTATATGTGAATATCCAGTGGTGGCTGGTCATCAAGTTGACACTGAAAGAGGCCAGTATGACGCAAAATTAAGACACAAAGGTACAAATAGCTTGAACAAGCTACTGTAGTTAGAATTTCTTGTATTAGACTTTCCTACTAAAATTATTTGCTCTCTGTGACGATAGGGCACGAAAGAAATTGACGGATATGACGCCGCCGGAAAAGCAACGTTGTAGAAGACAAGATGGCGACGCGATGAGCGAAAGTTGCGAGGAGCATTATTGTAGAGATGCTAGTTGCGCCCTGTTTTATTACTTAAACCATGGGGATCCCTAATTTTCTTCTGAAATCATGATGCAAGGGTTCACCGAGAAGAATGCCAACGACAGGACCGCATTTTGGAGAAAGAATGCGCGATCCGTTCCGGGAAGGTAAAACATATTCCAGTTTATTCCCGTTGAATCCTCGCCATACACGTGTAATTGGTGCGCGCAGATTGTCGTAGACCCTGTAGTCCACACTCACGACGGCCACTGATCTCGAAAAATTCCTACAGCGGGCGTGGGCCATGGCATTGCGACATGCCGGCAAGCAAGCGTCTTGGCAGTCTTCGCCGTGACCTCGCCTACGTGTTTACGAGTACACGAAAGAAAGTTTCCGTAAACGCACCGAGCATATCGACGATCCCGTAGCGTATCCGAAAGTGCTGTGCCGAACATAGCATGTGTCGCCACGTGAGTTGATTCATCTTGTCTATGCATAGGCTGGAAGTGTCCGATTTATCTCCCTGTTTGGACCTGCTCGTCGCCGTGGTGCCTACTGGCGAAATAACGCGCGATTCCTGCTGGAAACAATACAGCATGCGCCATTCTTGTGAGCTATCACGTCACCCGTATGAAATTCTGTATATCCCGATGAATCGCTGCCTTCGCAGCACGTTTCTGTGCTTAGCGGAGGAAAGCAACTGTGAAGCGAATGAAGGAGGCGCTACGATTATGCCGCTGCCTACAAATACAAGTGGAAGAGTTCCTTTATGTTTTTTGTGTGACTTCATAAGTGGCATCCGATTCTTTTGAGTAATCGCGCTATTTATTGTCTTGGCAGCTGTTGGAGCTGTTTTTGTGCACGCGAAAGGAGCTCCGTAGGCGCTAAAGCTGCGGTCGCTGCCTGTTGCCTCTTCACATCGGCGCAGAGGACATTTCTTTCGTCTTGCATTGTCCACTGTTTACCTTTGAGAAATACAACTTTGGGGCATCGTTTGTCTTGTGCCCAGTTAATACCGTTGCTACTAGACGCTATGTTTCTGTTTCTTTACGACACATATGCCGTGCGCACCGCTACGCTGAACCCCTCCCGTGAAGGTTGCGAAGAAGTGCGATGTTGCAAGCCTTGCTACGCTGTATTACGACGCTGCGGCTTGATAGGGCATTGACAGGCCTGTCGATGGGATGATTGTGCTACGTTTTTTTTCCCCAAAGGCTACACGCCTGATGCATCCCGGCATACTGACTGCCGTCGAAATCCGTGGCCTTTGCAGTTCACTCTCTTCTTTAACACCTGTATGCAAGTGGCTAGTTAACAGATGGTGTTCGAATTCAATCTTTAGGGTCTTCTTCAATTCACACACTGCGGAACATTAGTTTACACGTGTGAACACAAGTGCATGTAATAACCCTCACAGACTTGCCTTTGAGTGATGTTGCCCGTTGTAAGTGGTCGAAGCTTTTGTTAATTCTATTGTTTCAGTCATGCCGACTTCAATGAAATCTCAATGTATAGCATCACCAGTGCCGTCAGTGCAATAACATTTCTGCATTATGAAAGGTGTACTCAAGCAAAATGGCCTGCAGAATTGTAGTTTTTATTTTGTGTGTGTCGACACGTCGACACAATGCCTTCGGCGCAGCTGTGCGCATAAATGGAAACATTCGTCTTGGCAGAACTATGCACAGTAGCAAAAGACGTGTTTTTAGAAAGCACGTAGAAAGTCCACAGCAGGTCTCGTAGTCTTGAACGTTCTCATTTTTCAGCATCAAGCCTGTTTATGGAGCATCCCATCCACCAAGGAAAGATAGCATGTGAGTGGCGTCGTATTCATTTTTCCGTGTTAGTAACCAGTGTTGTTAAATTGCATGTGTTGTGTGTTTTTACTGTCATGAAGGGAGTACGGGAAAAAAAGAAAATCAACAAATGTTAAACATATTTTACGAGTGGGGACTATTTTATGCTACATGCTGTGGTAATTAATGAGAGCTTCTGTCTGTTGGGCTTAATTATGAATTAGTATGATGCATATTTGTTGTGTAGAATAGTGTGTATGGCCTCCACTTTTTAATTTTTTTTCTTATTGTATGCTCATGCCTCTGATTACCTTATGAAGCACATGGGAGTTGGAATACAACATTTCGTAACTATTTGCATATATTAACACATTTCTGTGATGCTTTTGTGCACATTGACGCACAAGATAAAGTAAACTTTTTAGGTAAAAAAACATAGGATTATACGGCCCTCACATGTGCAGTAAAACGTGCTCTTTTAAATAAAGAGTTGTCTTTGAAGAAATACGATTGTAACTCATGACTTCACGCTTTCAAATTGGTTGAAAGCCATCTAACGATGCCCTAACCAAGGCAGTGCGTTAGTGCAGACTGACAGATGAAGTTGGGCACATTTTCTACAGTCGGAGGAGACTTATGTGTACGTCAATAGCTGCAATGTCCTGATTGGGATGATGATGGCAGTGATGGTGCCTTCATCGTAAGCTGGTTTAATCAGTCTAGTCTTCTAGTAACAAATTCAGCCACTCTGGCCGTAAAGTTTTTGTGTTCCACAAAGTCATGTTGTTGCCTAACTTCAGGGTATAGAGCTTCTCAGTTTAGTAAATGTGCTCATTTCTGTCAATGTTGGGTCATTTTGTATGAGCTTGTGCACGTGTACGTTTACAGTGATTTCATTTGATTGATTGGTGTGTGAGGTTTAACGTCCCAAAACCACGATATGATTATAAGATGCCGTACTGGAGGGCTCCTAGAATTTCAACAACCTGGGGTGTTTTAACGTGCACTCGAATCTGAGCACACGGGGCTACAGCATTTTCACCTCCATAGAAAATGCAGCCACCGCAGCCAGGATTCGATCCCGCGACCTGCAGGTCAGCAGCCGAGTACCTTAGCCACTAGACCACTGTGACGGGACGACGTTTGAAGTGCCACTCTTGTGAAGGGAATAAGGGTGATAAGAAAAGCATAGGGAAGATTGTCATTCTTTTTATGGAAAAGCTGAAAGTCCCCTTGTTTGTTTCTTTGCGTGACAATCGTCCTTTCGTGTGCCATTTTTTTTTGTCTCAAGTCGGCTAGTAGAAACTAGCTTAACTCTCCGCCCTCTTAGTTTTGCAATAGGATATGGAGTATGCATGTGTATGGAGAGACAGCTTGCAGCTCGTGTACGGGGCGGGATGATCCCTTTTTCTCTTCTCGCTGTATGTCCATGATTACACTAAGTAAGACAGCTGTCAGTTGCAGCCCCGCCGCGGTGGTCTAGTGGCTAAGCTACTCGGCTGCTGATCCGCAGGTTGTGGGATCGAATCCCTACTGCAGCGGCTGCATTTTCGATGGAGGTGAGAATGCTGAAGGCCCATGTGTTCAGATTTGGGTGCACGTTAGAAAACCTCAAGTGGTCGAAATTTCCGGAGCCCTCCACTACAGCGTCTCTCATAAGCATTTCTATGTTCCTATGATTTTGGGATGTTAAGTTCCACATATCATCATCATCAGCTTTCAGTCGCACACGCTATCAACTTTTGGTGTTTCATCTGTTCGTTTCAGGCCATCGACCCCAAAGAAAGATGGTCACAGCAGTCGGCATCGACGAAACACATCATCTAGCTCATTCAAGGACTTTCAGGAGAGTACAGACGACGCCTGGGACATTGGCGATGATGAGTTTTGTGTTGTGTCAGGTGAGAACTTCCAATACTGCAGTTGCATTATACGAACTACCATGAAAACAAGCCATTGTTGTGTTTTGCTGGTTTGTTTGCATTTTTTCTTTTATGTTGCGTTTTGTCTTCAGTCCTGTAGCTACTTATTTTTTTATTTGTTATTAGACGTATCATTGTTTGAGATCAATGTGGCAGGATCAGTGTATATTCATGTATGTTCCTGAGTTAATTGTTTTTAAAGGTACTAATCTTGTTTACATCTTCTTGTACATTTCTGTGTTTAAAAATATGTCCTTACCAACATGCTTAGGTTGTCACACTCAATCCATTTCATAAATCTGCAGCATTCAAGGTATTATATTCTTGTTTGTTGGCTGTTGGAGGTGCGATAACCTGCATGGCGTTTCACATAACAGGCAGAGGATGCGTCTGTATTTACAGCCAGCAGCATTCATGCGAAATGCCATGCACACTTTTCTCGTACAGCTAAAGAGATATCGGCCTGTTCAGCAAGGCTCACAGGGTATAAGGCGCCCTAGTGTGATCAATAGGAACACTGTTCGGTCAACCACGATGACAGTATACCAGCAGTGTCTGAAAAAACTGCAGAAAAGCCATCAGGCGTCGAGCTTTCTTTACAAGAGAACTATTCTTGTGTGTTTTGCAGACGTGAAGATAGTGTCCAAGGTGGTGCAGTCGACGGCAGAGTCTGTCATCACGAACCACAGCAGGGCCCGAAACTCGGCTGAACTTGCAGACGAGCCGCTGGGTTATGAAGTGTCCGATGGATGCTCCTCGGAAGCACGAGCAGCTGCTATGCAGCGACTGGCAATACAAAAAGGTGGGCCACCCATCTCTTTAAGCGATAAACATTAGCAGAAGCGAATAAAACAGATAATGTGCTTTCACTTGCCTGCGGTCACCGCCTGCTGGTTCACTTAAAAAACAAAAAGAAAAACTGAAAGTAACCGATTTTCGGTCTGCGAGAAATTGCGAGTTTGAATACTGGTAAAGCAGCCATGTTCTGTCTGAGTTTTCAGTGTTCCTCCTGACACTAAGGACGAAAGTTATTGGCATGTAACACTAATTAAAGTGATCACGAGGTGTGGGGAAACAGACAAGTGAACGTGCTGATATTTTTGTGGCAGACGATAAAAAAGCGCCTTCCACAGTGCTCGTGGGCGAAACTTCATTGTTGCCAGCGGGCGGCGACCACAGGCGAGTGAAAGCACACCATCTCTCTTATTCGCTAAAATCTCGGAAGCCATGCTTTTAAGTTTTTGTTGAATCCTGTGCGGTGGCGCTGCTAATAAATACGCTCGTTGTCAAGTTTTTTCTTCTTTACTTCATAGATGGCGTTATATTTTGTAGCAATATGTGGCAACTGAAGCCAGATTTTTAAGAAAAGCCAAATAATACACCTGTGCAAGTAATATTCAGAAAAAAGAAAATCCATCGTCCACAGCTGGATTCGAACCTGGGTCTTTTTGGGTGGGAAGCGAGCATCCTACCCCTCAACCACTTCGGGGAGCTGCGCGGGGCTCTTAAAACGACGGCACATTGCATACTACCGATCGCAGGGCCACAAGCAGATTGACCCTGTTTAGGCTTCACTTTTCGGAGCTCGCTCCGGGCACTCCTTGTTTTATTACACTATAACTGAATGAACAAGAAAAGAAAAATGGCTTCGGCAGAGAACGCATCGGCCCAAGGAGGCGAAGTCGATGCTGATGCCCAAAAAGCATGCGGTACTCTTTTTGCCAGACGATCACTTGGTTTATGCCAAGGGCCGGCATATAGGTTGAGGGGTGACTCTTTAGTGACATTTATTGGAAAAAATCTTGACCTATATTCCGCACTATACGGTAGATTACTTCAGACCTACACCACCTGCATCGAGCTCTCTTCAGAAGGTGCCGAAGTGCAGTTTGTGTTCATTGCTGTTGTGCAAAACCTCAAAACAGGAACAAGAGAGATTGGTGAAGTGACCAATAGGAAGCCTCGCTGTTCACTCTAGCTTTCTGCAGTGCTGTTTTAAGTGCTACAAGAAGAAGCACTTAACTGCTGCTTTGGGGCTAAGGAACTTGGTGTGTTTTTGCTGTAGCAACCCAAAAGCTTATATCCCATAATACAGATTTAATGAGAATGCGTTGCATAAGTGGGTGGGACAGAAGTAATATTAGCGGCCTATTCATGGTAAAAAGATCGGGTTGTGCAAATGCGAAGGCAAGAAGGAAATTGGGACACCACAATTGTGGACTAACAGCTGAAGTTCCGTACAATGGCGTAAAAGAAAGAAGCGAATGTGCACCATCTCGCAGAATTTAAAGTTTTGTGAAACCTCTATTTCTACGTAGCTAACCACTGTTTATACCCAGTTGTCTTTTACATCGGTGTCTCTTTACTTTAGTTGCATGCGCACTAAGTGGGACGAGATACTTCAATGTTTTCTGCGTCACAGCATGTGCGGGCTCTCCTCTGGAACCGTGTGTTGTGCCGCCATCACGGACAGGATTTGGGCCGGGCATGGCAGTGCGTCATTTGTGTGGAGGTGCGGGGGCCAACGCATCACCCCACCACTCGCCCTCGCAGAACGCCCTCAACTCGCAGGCAACGCTGGAGAAGTTCCAGAGTGTCCTGCAGTGCCCCAAGACGGACCTCGGTGAGTGGGCAGCTGCGCTGTGTGCGGTGAAAGGTGCGGCACATGTGCCACACTGAGTATTTCTGAAAACAAAAATATCTTATTTTCATAGTCTTGCCTGTACCAGGTTTGCAATTTTAGTGGGTTGATTTTTCCGTCCTCCCTTCGTCCATGATCATTTTCACGTAGGCCATTTTCTCCTGTGACACTCAGCAGAACAGAAAAAAAGGGCCGATTTTTTCATCTCCGTACATTGCATTACAACCGAGTAAATCTGGCATATATATAGCTGATATAAGGCTTAAAGTGACAAGGCTTTACAATATGTAACGCATATACACCTAAACCTCGATTATAAGGAAGATGGAAAAATCTGCAATTTTCTTTGGTGAATCGAAATTCAACCTATTATTTAAAGCACATTTGCCAAGAGATTGACTTGTACACCCAAAGTGACACAATAACGTTTGAATAATATGATAACACACACAAAAAGAAATCATTACAGTGATGTAAAAGAATAAGTTTTATTGAATCTGAGATTCAGCTACCAGGATTTGATACCGTGCTGGTAAAGTCCTTTTCACAAACGTTGTTTATCGAGTCTAAATTCAAAGCAAAGGACTCTCCAACTCACTGTGGTAACGAGAGATAAGCAAAGCTTTCATGCTGATTCTGCTACTGTGGCTTGCAATGAAACTTTGTGAGCTCGTTAGAGTGGTGCCACACCAATGATGTCATGTTCACTGAATCGAGCAATTTGTGCTTCGACGAGTACGATGAATATGCAGCATTGAAAACCATTGTACGAGACAAAAACAGAGCAGTTGTGGTCTGAAATCGCGTGAAAACTGGGGAACAAGCTGATTACGGCATGTCCGTTCATCATGGTCGTTTTTTTATGTTCAGCAACATCACACGATGCATTAAGAATAGAGAAAAGCTCATTACGCAATCACAAATTTTGGTTGCCGCTATCCATTCCCTGAACTAAAGGATAGGTGTGCCATGTTTAAAGGGGCCTTGCAACACTCCGTCGAATGGCTTTATTATGAAAAGCTCACTGCCTGACAAATTAAATGCCGCAAAGTGTTTTAGAATCTGTCTACACTCAAACTTCATTATAGCAAAGTCACACCTGCCAGGAAAATACTTTGTTATACAATAAAAGCTCCTTTATCTGGACCTCGTTAACTCGGAAGTTCGGTTAACTCGGACTCGCGGCGCGGTCCCGGCAAAACTGTGTATATTTCAATGAGGTCACATGCTCATTAATTCGGAGTGATTTAGCCGCGCACCGGTTATCTCGGACAACTCCGGAGAGGGCTATTGAGACTCCAGAGTCGCATGATCTCGGCGGCTTGAAGGCTCAAGCACCGCTTGCCGTAACCGACGGCAGAACAAGAGTTTTGGAGAAACCGAAACCGAGTAAACTGCAGCAGAATATGACCATGATGATAGTGAATGAAGGGGAAGTGGCTAGTTGGCGCTAGTCACCACCCGGCGGAAGCGCTTGGGCCACCGGTGCATCCAGTGTCTACTAACAGCTGCTCGCTACGACCATGCTACGCCTACTGGTGTACTTTGTGTCTTGGTTCTTTGTGTTGTGACTTCACGTGTTGCGGCTGTGTTCGCGCGCGTTGTCGCTGCCGTCGCGCTTCATGGCGACCGTCACAAGAGTCAAGCGGCCGCAGCAGTCAGCAAATGATCTTGAAAGAAAGGTTATGATATTGAAAGAAGTGAACGCAGGTGTTTCTTGACAGGAGATAATGAAAAAGTACAATGTCAAGAGAAGCACCTTAAGCGACTACGTGAAAACAAAGAACAAATTTTCGAGGCGTTTGACAGCGGCAAATTCACCGGAAAATGAAAACGACTAAGGACGGCAGCATACCCGAAGCTGGAAGACGCACTGCTGCAGTGGATAACAGACATGCGGAACAGCCAACTTCCCTTGAGTGGACCATTGATTTCTCAGCAAGCTGAAAGGTACGCACTGAGAATGAACATCAAATCTTTCAGTGCGTGGGAAAAAGCAGCAGTGGGTGAATAGCGTATTGCTGACTGGAAGACAACTGAGCTTCCCCAGTACCTGGCTCGTTATGAGTCTGCCAACGTCTTCAATGCCGATTAAACGGCTCTCTTTTTTAAAGCCTTGCCGGACAAAATGATCACGTTCAAGGGCAACCCATGCGTTGTAGGGAAGAGGAGCAAAGAAAGGATCACTGTGCTCCTCGCTTCAAATATGTCGGGCACCGAGCGCCTGCGACTGCTAGTCATCGGGAAGGCACGTAACTCAAGGTGTTTTAAGAACATTCACTACTTACCTGGGCAATATCGCGCAAACAGAAAGGCCTGGATGACTTCGAATATTTTCCAAGCTAGGCTGCGCCAACTCGACCGCCGTTTCTCCTCTAACAAGCACAAGGTTTTACTTCTAGCTGACAACTGCAATGCTCATATCAGAGTGACAGGGCTGAAGTGCATCGAACTTATATTTCTACCTTCAAACATGACGGCTGCTCTGCAACCGATGGATTAAGGGATAATTCAGCACGTAAAAAGCAGGTACAGAAAGCATGTGCTGGAACGGATCCTGCTGTGCAAGGAAGCAGGGCGAGAATATGACGTGACTATCCTGACAGCAATTCACATTTTGGCTCATGTCAGCAGCGAAACGCCGCCCGAGGTGATTGCAAATTCTTTCCGGCACAGCGGCTTTGTCTGCCCTGACGACTCAAATATTCCTCCAGAGGACACCCGCGAGTCCATTGGAAATATGGACAACGAGGTGAATGACACGCATTTTGACTCTCTCCTTCCTAGTGGCGTCCAGATTTTAGACTACGTCGCTATAGACTATCATGTTGCCGTTGCTGGCCCGCTGACTGACGATGATATATTATCGGAAGTGCTTGAAGAGGACCCATATCACTGTTCCTTTGATGATGGCCACGATGAGCCGACGCAAAGTCGCCACACCGTGCAAGAGGCCTCCGAAGCCCTCGCTGTCCTCGAGGAGTTCTGCGTTTGTTCTCGCGACAGTGAACGTGCGCACCACCACCTGATGGGATTAAATAAGATCGTTCTGTCAGAATTCCGACGGTGAGGCAGGCAAAAATAACGCACTTTTTTAAGAAATAAAGGTTTGTCTGTGCCGTGTACATTTTCCTTTGTTTTCATGGTCCATTCGATAATTCGGAATTTGGTTAACTCGGACATTTTCTCCGGTCCAGTGAGATCCGAGTTAACGAGCTTTTACTGTACCAAAAAATTTATTATAAACATGCATTTGCAGCACTGTCTATGAGAGATGAGAGAAATACTCTTCAATTGCTTCCTTATAACCGATCATTCATTATAACTCGGTTCGTTATATCGAGGTTTGAGTGTAGTACCAGTGGGGTTACGAGGATTTGTCGTACACTTCAAGCCTTATCTCCCTCTTCGTTCTTGCCTGCGAGTGTGTTGAAGGCTACTCAGGGAAGGGAATGACAAAGGGGTAAGAAGATGCGCCCCTTCATTGACGCACATCGTCACCTTGAGAACTGTTTCTCTTTTTTTTTTTTTGTTCGAACGCACACATCACAGTGTGATTGTGCTTGGGCACTCGGCGGCATCTTGCGGCAGCCACACTAACTATGCAGTTCGCGATGCTCAGTGCAGCCAATGGCTGTGCACTAGAGGTTTATGGCGCAGTCATTTGAAACTATGGAATCATTTGTATAGAGAGGGAATGATTTATATCGGACTTTAGGAATTAATTGCAAATTCAATTCGTGTGCTTCACTAAAATGTTACAATTGCGCGTTCTCTGGAGCCTCGACTACTGATTGGCAGCTTTCTCTGACCGAGCTGAAAAAGTGTTGCAGGGCCTATTTAATAAATGCAACACTCCAACAGACGCAATCAATGACTGTGTCCTATTCAAGTGTGTTTAGCGAATGTCGCTTGTGCGTTGTGAATCTTTGTTTAGTGTTGTTGTGAAAGGTGCATCAGTGGCCGTGTATTGTGCTCTTGTCCATTCATTTGCTTGGTGTGGTAGAGATGAACTATTTTCAGTTGGGTTTAAAATGGTGCACGTATCGATATATCACCTGTCTTTTTACTGGTTCCAGATGCGCTCCGTTCTTTAAGTTGGAAGGGTATTCCTGCCGAAGTGCGTCCCATAACATGGAGGCTTCTGGCAGTATGTATTGCAGACAGCGCGATTTCATTGGCTATTGTGGCGTCTGAAACGGCCAATCTCTTCGTCTGCGTGTGCAGGGCTACTTGCCGGCCAACTCTGAGAGACGGGCGGCTGTTCTCGAAAGGAAACGGGAGGAGTACTTCAACTTTGTAAAGCAGTATTACGACACGAGAAACGACGACATTCATCAGGAAACGTACAGACAAGTCAGTAGAGCTTTATTCCTGTTGGTTCTGAGTGGGTGCCTCATGTGGCCTGTCAAAAGATTGTTAATTTTAACCTGTGTAAATTTTATACTTGGATAACGTGAGGTCGAGCCTCCCGAAACCATGATACGATTGTGAGGGTCGCCATAGTGCGGGGCTTTTGAAATTTTAACCACCTGGTGTTCTTCAATGCGCACTGACATCGTGCAGGACGTGGGCGTCTAGCATATTTCGCCTATCGAAATGCAACCACTTTGTGGGCATCGAACCCACGAGTCAGCAGGCAAGCACTGCGATTGCTACGCCACCGCAGTGGTACTGCGTAAATATAGAAAACCTGGCAATTCAGACCTCTTGTCTATTAATGGGAAGCTTGCACATGAGCAAACAAAAGGCAGCTTTGTGTTCAAATTATTTTTCAGAACAGAACTACAGACAAAAAAAAAAGCTTTTATTGACCTGCTTCCCGTCTTGTCTGCTTGTCACACTAGTGTTTGATGGCTTGGACAATGGTTGCTTCTTGCACATAAGCTTTTGCAGTATTTTGTCTCATTACAAAGTGTGCATTGACATACATTAAGAAAGCTGCCCCCAAAGAGAAACAAAACACACGTTCACTAGGTACTACGTGGAGCGCTAACAGGTTCACATTGGTGAGCATAAACTTGTCGATCTAATGTCGCACACGATTCTGTTCTCAAGATATTGTTGAAGAAGAGTATGTTATGAGGCACTTTATTAACTCTTGGTCAGTTATAGACCAGTTGCTTGGAATATGCTTTGATTATAATATTACTGCACTAGTTATTGGAAATATGAAGCTTTTGCACGCACAATGAAAACCGGAGGTTTGTTTACTGAAAGAAGGTAGTCAGTGCAACTTGTTGATTTTGTATTGTTAGTTTGTTAATTAGATTTTCGATAATTGACACCCAGTCCCATGAACCATCATATAATGAGGTGTTCCTACATTGTTATCATTGCCCATGTTTCTGTAAATAGCTTTTTCGGTGTGTGCGTAAGCTTTCTGCTTAGTTTCGGGATGCAACTAGCAATATCTTGTCATCTGAGCCCGTTAAGCTTGCTTGAAAGTATAATGAGCTCAGCGGGCCTTGCAGAGTGTCAAAAGTTGCTACATGTAATCGTTATCTGTGCGTTTTTTCCTTAATTTGTTTACATGCTTGTTTTGTTCATTTTTTCACTTTTCTTATGTTGCAGATGTCAAGTGGTATTGAGAAATTGGTGTAAAATCTTAATACTATTACAGTGGAAAACATTGAAAATGAAAATGTATCGATAAGTTGAAAATATGAAGATAGTTGCACATTGAAATTTTGATCAAATATTATAAGATAAAATAGCAGAAAGTTTGAAATTTATTACATATTTTTTCTTCTAGTTCTTTCCTTGCGGGGTTTAATAAATAAGTGTAGATTTTCCTAAAAAGAGACTTGCACACTTGATGGTTGTAGGTATGGCTGTACTGGTTGCGAGATTATCGGTCTTCGTTAGTTTTTCTTGCAATTGCTGCACTTCAATTATATACTACAAATAATGCTCTGTGTGCTTCCTTCAATTTGTTATCCGTAGGATTTGTTATGTTGTAATGAAGGAATGGGTCCTTCAATCTATTTCCCCTCTTTTCATTCTACTCGCTAGTGAGTGTCTTGCTTGGCTTATCTAATGAGAGAAAGGATTAATAAGTATAATGCAATAATGTATAATAATGTAATAAGGACAGCATTATAGTGAGAAAATGCCTCACTCATGAGTGCATTGTGGATGTTTTAATTGAACCTTCATGCTTGCTTTTTTTCAGATTCACATAGACATCCCTCGCATGAGCCCCCTGGTGCCATTATTTCAACAGGAATCAGTTCAACAGGTGAGTGATGTGTGTTAGTGTTTAAGCGAAAGTGCCATTACATTACGATTATATTAATGAACTCAGTCATAATTGAGACTTCAGTCAACTTGTTTATTCAAGAGTAACCAAAAGTTTCACACTAGTACCTCATGGACAGAGCCAAACATTTTCTCCTCGACTGCCGGGTATAGCCATCATAAAAAAAAGTGCGAATTGTTAACAGACGATGATTATATCTAGCAATGTGCTTTCAGTGTGCAGTTTTTGGCAGCACAGTAGAGTGCCTTTGTGTACTCTTTTCTGTTTATTTTGTGGCAGAAATAATGACATAACGTACATTCTCGTACATCAGAGCTTGAAACACGACCAAATTTTGTGTGCACACTGATAAACGGGCAGGTTTACAGGTGCATTTCATTTGGAAGTGACATCGCACGCACTGCTGCCACTTTCATGCTGTACATTACAAATGCGGCTAATTGTGTCGCATTGGCGAGCATGCTGTGGAAGGGTACAGCATGCCACGATGAAACGTAGCTCTGCAAGTTGCAGTGCTTGCAGCCTGCTTTCTGTCTTCCGTGCACGTTTGGGGGCTGATTTGGCTGTGTGCTTTCGAGTGGAATGCGTCAACATGCTGCTTGAACATCAGCACATCCGGAAATTTTCCTGCTGTAGTGACGATGTTGCTTAGACGTTTTTTTCGTTGGCATGTGGGACGTGATGTTTTCTAGACGGTCTGGCCGCAACATTACAGTAAAAGTTGAACAACTGACAGCGAGACGCAAGTAGACCTTTCTGGAAAAGCTCAAGAACATGAGTGAAAATTAATTGAGACGCACCACTGTTGACCAGGCTGTTACTAAGGTTTGGCCTTTGGACAGAATACTGTGGGTCAGCATGTGAATAATTTGAAATACTAGTCATTGCTTTTACACTTCTTTTTTTATATGTTCGAGTTTGGAATTTACCACAAATTTTACAATAAACTTGATTAGGCTAGTTGGGGCCAGTTCATGATTGTAGGTGGGACAAATTTTAGTTGTTACATTTATGCTGTAACAGAGAACCACAAACCAGTCAAAGCCATTTTACTGCAAACTTGCAACTTCTGTGAAATATATGATTACCGTATAAACCGGACTATAGGTCGAGTGGGAATATAGGTCGACCCCCCCAAGTTCAGGTTACCGAAAAATAAAAAAAAGGGAAAACAAACCAAAACTGCCGCACCAAATTTATTTGCGAATTGGGCACACCGCACCCCGATCGTCGGTGCTCCCCTCAAGCACCATCGCAACTGCTTTTATTCGTCCGACGAAGCAAAACTGTCTTCTGAAGACGAGAGTTTGTCGCTGGCTGCCTCTCACAGTGCGTCGTCTTCAGTGCCATCCAGCGAGTTGCTGATGCAACATTTCTTGAAAGCATTTTCCACCATGGAATCCGGCAAGGAGCGCCAGGCGGAAAGCACCCAGCCACAAACAGTCGCAAGCGGAGGCCTCTTTAGGCGGCCCGTCGGTGTCTTGTGGTTGTCGTCGGACATTCACTCTTGGTATTCCAGCCACACACGGTCCTTGAACGGCTTGTTTAGCACAACGTCGAGCGGCTGGAGGGCGGACGTCATACCACCTGGTATCACGGCGAGGTCCGTTTTCCCGTCACCGAGTGCGCGTTTCACTGCGTCGGTTAAGTGGCCACGAAACGCATCCAACACCAGCATGCTGCGAAGACGCAGCAGTGCACCTGGCCGACGGTTGCACACCACTCGTATCCATTCGAGCATCATAGCCTCGTCCATGTATCCCTTTTTGTTGACACGAACGGCAACACCGTGCGGGAACACTTTCTTCGGCATTGTCTTACGTTTGAAAATGACGAAGGGCGGAAGCTTTCTACCATCTGCCGTGCATGCCAGCATGACGGTGAAGCGCGAGTGCTCGTTGCCAGTGGACAACAGCTTCACATCCTTGGCGCCGCGCTGCGTGATTGTGGTAGACGAAAGCATGTCAAACCACAAGGGGGTCTCATCGGCGTTGCCAATCTGCCCCATCATGCAGTCGTTCTGCTCCCGAAGGCCGTTCACAAAGCGCTAAAAGTTTATGAGCTTGTCTTCGAACTTTTCCGACAACTTTTGACAGATGGATGTGCGCCGCGGGAGAGAAAATCCTTTGCGCCGCATAAATCGACGCACCCAATAGTTCGGTGCACGAAACTCTTCTCTCGTGAGCCCAGCTTCTTGAGCGAGTTCCAAGGCTTCCTTGCGAATTGTATCCACGGTGACTGGCAGCGAGCGCGCACAAACTTCCCGCACAAAGTCCGCTAGCTTATCCTCCAGCTGCGGATGAACGGCACTTCGTCCACGAAACGACATTTTTTGTGGATTGCACCTCTGCAGCTTTCCTTTTTGCGCCCTCCAATAGCGCACGCTTTTTTCCGATACACCAAAGCGGCGCTGAGCAGCCATATTCCCGTTCGCTTCTGCGAACTCAACATCTAGTTTAAACGCAGCTGACTATTGCCTCCTCGCACCGCTAGACTTATTCAGTGAATGAAAAAAAAAAAAAAAGGCCACTAAAAATGCAGCGCAATGTCAAGCGGAGCGAAAACTCAGAACAGATCGGTAGCAAATCACGAACACAAAGAAAACAGACGAAGAAAAAAAAAGCAGACTGCGAATGGATTTGAATGCGGATATGGCCGCGTCCGGCTTCACAAGCACATGCAAGTTACATGTTGCCAGACAGCGTCGCACTTTTGGCTAAACACCGCTATATAAGACGAGGGGCGACTTTAGTTTATTATTTTATTGAAAATATCTCGACTTATATTCCGGTTTATATGGTAGTTTGCTGTGTATGGACTCGCCCTTGAAAACAGTGTGCGTTTAGTGACCAAGTCTTATTTTTGCTGCAGATTTTTATTGTAAAGTACTGACAACTCTTCTAGAGACAAGTCTAGCTTTTTCACTTCATGGTGTACCGCCTGCTGTGGGCTTACGAGTGAAATGAATGGCCTCCGCAATGAAGTGACGCCGGTTCACTGATGCACGGCACCATCACGTGCAGCCGATCGTCCTTGGCTGATTGCGTGCAGAGTGTTACCTGCGTGGCTCATGCAGTCACCGCTGGGCCGCTTGCTGTACAGTCGAACCCGGGTATATTGAACTCGCCAAAAAACGTTTATTAGTTCGATATATGGCGTAATTCGATATAGGCCCGGTATAGGTTTTGACACAAAGGCACATAACAAACTAGAAGAAAAGTACTTTATTATTATGGTGGCTTACTTGCGAGCCCTACTGTGGAACAAAATACAGTAAAAGCTCGTTAACTCGACACCCGTTAATTCGGAAGTTTGGATAATTCGGACGGCTCTATTGGTCCCAGCCAAAGTGCATGTTAATCTATGGGACTAAACGTTCGTTATTTCGTCGGAATTCGGCTCCGCACCGCTTAATTCGGACAAATGCTGACGGCTGCTGCTATACAAAAGTGTGATAAAGCAGCGCTGGCACCACTGGAGTGAAACCGAAACCTGAGTGGCATTGCCATCATCATCAACTAGTGGGGGCGATCGCAGCGTCACCGAACGTCGGCGTCTTCTTTCTTCTCCACTCAGCGCCTCTGACGCCATTTTCCCTTGTGTTGTCGTGTCGGAACCATCTCTTCTTGCGGAGTTCTCTCGCGGACCAGGGTATCATTCACTACGTGAAGTCGAAGTACCGCAAGCACCTGCTAAAGCGAATGATCCTATGCTCAGAAGCTGGAAAGTTGTATCAAGTGGACTTACTCGGCGCACTGCACATCATCGCCCACGTGTGGAAAAACACTCCGCCGCAAGTCATCGCCAACTGTTTTCGGCACAGCGGTTTTGTGAGGCCCGAGCATGCAGCAGTAGCTGACGATGGCATCGAGGAGGTGTCAGCCGAGTCCACCGACGATGACTGCCCGACTTTCGATGCTGTCCTTCCCACAGATGTGACCTTTCAGGACTACATCGGGATTGATCATGGTGTCGCCACGAGTGATCTCCTGACTGATCAAGAGATTATTAATGATGTCACGGGCGCCCATGGAGACCACGATTGCGACGAAGAATCATGCGACGAGATACAGCCGCGACCTCATCGCACCTCACGGGAAGTCTCGGAGGCGCTGTTAATATTAGAGGATGGTTGCCTGAACACTCCCGACAGCTTGCGTGCTGTTGGCCATTTGGAACAGTTAAGAAAAATTGTGATGTCAGCCGGAACCTGCGCGAAAACGCAGACGACAATTACAAAATACTTCAACAAATAAAGGTGTGCTTCTGCAGCTTGATTTTAAATGTTGTTTTCCCTGTTCATTCGTTAATCGGCATTCGGTTAATTCGGACAGTTTTTCCGGTCCCGTGAAATCCGAATTAACGAGCTTTTACTGTAGTCGCGGATTTTTTTCTGTGTCAACAACTTCGCTGCCTGCGACAGCACGCACGCCTCCACGTTGTGCAACGAGTCAGAGCAGCTGAGGCCGCAACCTTCCACATTCAAGCAATAGCGCCGGACCAATGCAAGTGCACGAAACACTTAGAGGATGTAGGCAATGGGCCGTCGTCGATTTCCAATTGCTGTCGCTTTGGCTCGTGGTCGGCACAAGGTCTGTAATGTAATCCTCATCCTGTAATTGGCCCATGATGGGGACATCTTCGTCCGCACTGACGAACTCGTCAAATGTCGATCCGTTGATAGCACCCGGGAACTCTGCCAGCCCGTTCCAAACTTCGGCGGAAACACCTGCGGTGTCTTCAGTGCTGTCAGAATTCGGGGTGTCATCACCAGGCATGCGTAAGCCGGCATGCCTAAATCAGTTCCAGATTGTCTCCTTTTTGACGTCTGTTCACGATCTACTCATGATAGAAATAGCTTCGAGCAAGTCGATCTTAAGGGGAGATGCTACTGGAAAAACGATTTTCTTTAATAAGAGTCTGAATTTAACACAAATTGGCATGCTAATAGAGTTTTTCTCCTCTTTTCACATATGTCA